GTGGCGGATCCAGGGAAGGGGGGGGGCCCGGGGGGCCCGGGCCCCCCCCCCCTTGAGAAAAAAATCATGTAAAATCACGTGATTTTTACCTTTTTTTGGGTTGGGCCCCCCCCCCCCCTGGCGCTCAAGGGGGGGTGCAAATTGAAATTTTTTTGAGGATCAAAAAAAAAAATGCGATCACTACCCCCCCCCCCCCCCCCCCCCCCCCCCCCCCCCCCCCCCCCCCCCCCCCCCCACTGAGCGAATTTTTGGCCGGCGCGTTTTTCAAATTTTCGGGAGCAAAAAAAAAAAAAAAAAAAAAAAAATTGAGGATAAAAAAAAAAAAAAAAATGTGCTCACTACCCCCCCCCCCCCCCCCCCCCCAACTGAGCGACTTTTCGGCCGGCGCGATTTTCAAATTTTCGGGAGCAAAAAAAAAAAAAAGTTGGGCCCCCTCCCCTAAGAAATCCTGGATCCGCGCCTGGTTTTGGGTAATGAAAATGCATCAGATAAAAAGTAGATGATGGTAGTTTGATCATTGCCAAACATGGATCCATTGTGTCATTCTAAAAAAAATTCCTTGCAGTCACGACACGTTCGCACGTGCTAGTTCATGATGATGGTTGGATATTCTTGGACAAACGATTGTTCCGCGTGTCTCTTTTGGTACAATTTATTGATTACAAAACAGACACCAGTAATATCTCTCCAGAATATTCTGAAATATTCGCAAATGGCTCAAAACTGTTGCATGTACTTTCTATCAACGAAAAGGTCACAGACCTTGAATGTTTTGTACCCCTTGTTCAGTTAACTTGGTTAGTTTGCCATCACCTTTTGCCCGTCGTTTAATAAATTATTTTTGCAAATGATTAGGGCAGGCAGTTCCCTTGAAAAACACGCGTCACTGAAACCAAGACAATAAAATGAAACATCCAACTCCTGGCCCTTTCAAATGCATTATTTTGCCATCAGAAAGTCGAGAGGTCGCAGTTACCGAGTTTGAACGCTTGAATTATGATGTTAAGGTCATTGCACTCAACCCTGTCATCCCATACTGTCGCACGTCCTGAAACAAGGCATAATTTGCTGTTGCCTCTCTCTACACAAGTATATAAATGGGTATCCAGTCAATTTTGGTCGAGGAAACCGGTTGATCACAGAGGACCCTTGAATTAGCATGCCAAACATGTAAACTGGTGACAGGCGGTGATGCTCCAATTTATTGTGTATTCACTGAAAGTGCGAAAGGATAGGATCGACGAAGGAAGATAAGCGTTTTGTCATAACCTACCGATATGAAAATCAGCAGACCAGTGTACTATAAGGGGTGTGCGAGTCTTTAAGTTTAATTGAGTAAAATGCTGAACTGGAACTTTGCATTCTGCAGTAATGTGTATCGATGACTCGGGTGAAAATAGCTTATAAAGTGTTTTGTTGGGTGATTCGGAAAGTATTTATATTATTTTGCAAGTTATGGGGAAACGATTGATTGCTGGTTCCAAAAGTTCCATGAAATAAATGAAAATATGGCTTTTAGTATGATTATTATGGACTTTTTTCCTTCAACCATGAAGGTTAAATGACGAGGGTGTAACCATCTGTGGAACCATGGACCTATTACGAATGGACATTCATCGTTTCTTAACGAACTCATTGTGATTGTCTCCGTCAATGTCTTCTCAATAACATTCCGTACAGTTTCTTCACTTTGATCTCATGAGGGTCACCGCCAATAGACCAGTTCACGGTTAGCACCTTACTGCTATGACCCCGAATATCCACAGATCTTCAAAACATGAAGAGGTCCCACTTTGTACATTTTGAAATAATCACTCCTACAGCGATGGAGGTGCTTTATAAATAGCCTTTGTTCCCCCTTTTCAAAGAATACTTCCACCTGTGTACAATGGAGTGCACTGAATGTGCATGAATGAATAATGTTACATAACTTTCATGAGCACGTAGCCAGTATTTCGTCTCCATGTATTTCAAAATTTGTTCTGCAATGACCTTTATCTGCTCATGCTCAGACTGTAACCGTGAACTGGCTTATAAGCCGAGACAGAATCAAGATAGTGATTTTAAACATGTTAATCTAGATGCGCAGAAGATAATGAACAGCTTAAATCATGGGGAATCGATGTGCAGTTCTGGTTAATAATTGGAAATTGTTGTTCCATGTACTGTGTTCTATTTTTGAAAAAAAACATGTCGATATTACCAGGTAGGTTATATTTTGATTGTTTGTGATTAAAAATCCCTTTTCCCCCAATTTCCTCATAATATTCCAGAATTACAACGCATAGGGCTTATAAAGATCATGGCCCTCTAATTATTTTATAAGGTCATTGGTGCGTGCAATAGTGTGCGAATCAGTAATAAATATCACCAAAATCGTCTGATTTTCAATTTTGCTGCTCCTCATTGGTAATGATTTTATTAAAGACACACTCTTACAGACCACACGATCCAGACAAAACCCAAGAGAACGAAGCTGCTCCTATGTCAATGACCGAAAATGCTCACGCAGTCGTTACTGTTAAAACAGCTGAATGTTCTCATTAAGATGCACATAATCAGAATGCGGTGACTATCATAGGTTCAAAAAAAGAATCACGTTGAATGTTCATCCGTAAATAGGCCAATTGGTCTCATCATCATTGAATTAATCATCAAAGGGTTTTTTTTTTTTTTCGTTTTGGAAGGTAGCAAATAATGCGAGAAGCGTGACGGACACTTTGGCATCGCTCATTAATTTGCCGCTTCTCATTAATACTTTCATTGATCACATGACCATTTGTTATCCCCTCGCCGACGAAGTCGGAGGTGATATAGTAACGCTGCCGTCCGTCCTTCATTCCTTCCGTGTGTGCGTCCGTCCGTCCGTCCGTAACAAATTTGGTTTCCGATCGATAACTTCAGTAATGTTTGACGGATTTTAATGAAATTTGATATGAAGGTACATGATATCAAAACACAGGCTAAGTCCGATTTTGGAGTACGTAGGTCAAAGGTCATAGCTCATTAAATATGCGAAAAAATACACATCTGGTTTCCGATCGATAACTTCAGTAATGTTTGACGGATTTTAATGAACTTTGATAGGAAGGTTCATGGTATCAAAACACAGCCTAAGTTCAATTTCCGAGTAGGTAGGTCAAAGGCCATAGCTCATTAAATATGCGAATTTGGTTTCCGATCGATAACTTCAGTAATGTTTGACGGATTTTAATGAAATTTCATATGAAGATTCATGGTTTCAAAACACAACCTGAGTTCGATTTCGGAGTATGTAGGTCATAGGTCATAGCTCATTAAATATGCGAATCTGGTTTCCGATCCATAACTTTAGTATTGTTTGACGGTTTTTAATGAAATTTGATAAGAAGGTTCATGGTATCAAAACACAGCCTAAGTTCAATTTCCGAGTATGTAGGTCAAAGGCCATAGCTCATTAAATATGCGAATTTGGATCTCCATTCGATAACTTGAGTAATGTTTGACGAATTTTAATGACATTTAATATGAAGGTACATGGTATCAGAATACATGTACAGCCTCAGTTCAATTTATGAGTATGTAGGTCAAAGGTGGAAGGTCAGCTTATCAAATATGCAAAAACACCTAATTATATATGTGAAAATGTGGTTAACTTCATTGCCCAGTAATATAATAGTATAGTCCAATGTTCTGATGTATATAGGCCATTTGTACCCTGCGAGGGGATGCTACGCTTTGCGTTGATTTTTTTTCCGTTGTGTAAAGGATACATTTGAGCTCCATCAGCATTTTACTCTCATCGATGACAAAAATTAAATGTTTGCATTTTTAATTGAAAGAGCTAATGACTAGCATTATCAGAACTAAAATTATTATTTATCCGTCACCTGGCCCTTTGGATCAGCAGTGATAGTAGTAGTATTAGTATTGGTATTAATACTAGTAGTAACACTATTTCTAATAGGGGTGGTGATGGTGGTGGTACGTGGTGGTGGTACGTGGTAGTGGTGGTGATAGCAGTCGAAGTAGCAGCAGCAGCAGCTGCAGTAATAGTAGTAGTAGTAGTAGTAGTAGTAGTAGTAGTATTAATAACAGTTGTAGCAGTAGTAGTTGTTAAAGTAGTGGTGGTGGTACCGGTGGTAATGGCGATGGTAGTAATAGTTACAGCTGTAGCAGCACAATTAGGTGGTACTGTTCAATGTAGTAATATTAGTATAGGTCAACAGATCAAAGAAAGAGGCATTCAGTAGTAGTAGTAGTAGTAGTAGTAGAAGTAGAAGTAGTAGTAGTAGTAGTAGTTACAGTGGTAGTAAAAATAGCAGCAGTAGTAGTAGAAGTAGTAGTAGTAGTAGTAGTAGTAATAGTGGTAGTAGCAGTAGCAGCAGTAGTAGTAGAAGTAGTAGTAGTAGTAGTAGTATTAGTTGTTTTTGTAGTAGTTGTTTTTGTAGTAGTAATCGTCGTAGTAGCCGCATCAGGAGAAGTAGTAATGAGCATTTCATTTTAGAAGATATTAAACATGTTTTTCTCTTTTTCTCTACATAATTATGTTTTCCCTATTCCCTATTCCTGCTCTTGAAATATGATCTCCTGATCATCACCTCCTTAGTGTGTTTTCTGAGATTCATTCTTAAGCTCGCGGGGTTCGTTTATGTCATGTTGACAATTCAATCTCACATTATTTCATTACTTCCACCCGTCTAAGATGACTGTTTAATCCTGATTAGTCTCGGGATCCGTGGAGGGGAGCGTAAAGGGGACGACGTTCATGGGTGTACAAACAATATTTCAACGGTGATAATGTTGGAGCTCGCTTTTTGCACAAATTTTAATTGTCAAGGTCTTCAATTCAGTTAGGGAGCAAGCAAACTATTTCAATAACACTTCATTGAATTTCATTATTACTATTATCATTTTTATCATTATTAATATAATTATTGTTATTATTTTAAATAATATCATAATTAATAATAGTAGTAGTGGTATTTATTACCATTATTAGTATTATTATTAATAATATTATTATTATTATCAATGCTATATATCCACTGATAGAGTTTTATTATTATTTCATTAGTGAAGTATGTAACCGTGGCCACGAAGATTTTAGGGATGAGGTGACGATAGCCAAAATAAATTGCTAGGTTGATAATCTTGGGGAAGGTTGCAGCCCCCAAACCCCGGCAACAAAGGCCCGTATTGAGTGAAACTTTTAAACACTATTTTTTTCAATCTAAGATCGAGTACTGATAGAATTAGTGATAATGATAACCAGAACAGTTTGTACAAGACTTTACATATACATTACTACCTCCAATAAAACACAAGCAGGGACAAGTCTGTTTCTGACAGTAATTGGATTTACTTAATTGAAAATAGAAATTGGACCGTTTTTTCTTTGAAATTGACTGAGAATCAATTATCAGCAGGACCATGTATCGTACATTTCTTGCACAAGCGTATGCCAAACAATATTTAAACATTATTTTTTTTCACTAAATATCATTAGTATACAGAGTTCCTGTAATCTTTTCTGCGCCACCAAAACTTTGGAAAATTCTTGTAAATGAACTTTAAAAAGCATAACTTTGACGTCTAAATTTGTTTCATTTATACCCTGGAAATAAATATTAATCTTCAATGGATGCGAAATTCACAACGGAGGTACCTATTTCTGTTTTTAAGATAAAGAAACATATCTTCTTAGTTCAAACAATATGGGTTATAATTTAAACTCTCAAAGCTTAGACTGGATTTGCCATCCACCGTACGGGAAGGGTCAACGTTCAACCATGGTTCAACGATTAAAATATAATCAATATAGGCCCATTAAAGAGTATAGGCCTAGACTGGGGGACGCATTCCTTACACGTGATCAAGGTGATTTAAGGTTATTCCACAGAATATATAATAGCAGGTCGTCTAACAGTTTGTGTTACTTTTGTCACCTCTATACACACATGGACATATTGAAGGCCGTAACTGGAGTCAATTTGTCATGTTAAAACAGATATCAATAACATATTCCTTACTATTTAAAAAAAAGCCTTTCATTGCCGCCGCCCCCCCCCCAAGTTTTGAAAAATATACACCACCTTCGAAATATGTTGTACAGGGAATCAAGTGGTATTTAATAATTTAAAGTGCCAAAGAGAAAAAAAACATTGAATATGACGTTGTAAATGTTGATCTGATAATCAACTAGTCTCCATTCTGTAAAGGTACAATTTTCAACATAACTAATTCAATTTCTGTGTTTGCTTTATTCATCTTGAATGGAATACCAAATTTTTAAAGGGGGATACATCGTTTAGATATTTAGGAACAAAAACGCCAGGCAGCCATTACGAAAAAAGAGGAAATTCTTACGGTCAGGTCATCCCCAGAACTTCCTAGGAAAATTGACCAACAGATAATATTTTATCAGCGGTATCGTTAACGAGACTAATTGATTTACAAATGTGTACATCTTTTTCAAATTCTATCTAATATACTCTATCTACAAAGTGCTGTTTCTGGGCATTGTTTGATGGCGAACTTGATCAATTCCTCGCGTTCTGCCAGTTTGAAGCGTCTTGTTCTGGGCTTTATCCCTGCATGGGAAGAAAAAATAGATAGAAATAAAAATCAATATAAAGTCATAAATAAAGAAAACAATTAATGGCAGTATATCATAATGAGCATTTACGCCAGCAGCTTCCTGGTTGTGGACCAGACAACCCAAATCAGTGAAAGATTGTAAGACTGTAAATTCCTTTAAGAGAAAACTAAAAACACACCTACAAAAAACTGTAGTGACAAGTGATTTCTCCTAAACATGTTTTGTGTTCATCAAATTTATTTCAATTTGCTTATTGTAAGGGACTTGAGCACCATTTGGCATTTAAAGGCGGATATGTTGCGCATTATAAATGTCTGCCTTATCATATTAATTATTTCAGTACCTATCATAAGGTATATCATAATGCATGTCATATAAAGTCATAATTTACATATCATTTGTATCCGAGAATTGGAGTATTATAAACTTATCATTAAATGAAAAAGGCATCTGGGAATCTTATTTAATTTTAATTATTTTTTTTGTTTTCGTAATCGGTTTGGCAGTGTGAACACCATCCTGAACAAAATGCGCGTCGCATAAAATAAGTCTCGTTGGTGAAACAAAAACATCGGTTTCATTTCAAAAGAAATATTTGCGATAACCCCCCCCCCCCCCCCCCAAAAAAAAGAAGATAATAACGATTATGTGTGTTATATATAGCTTTCTCAAGCATTGCCTAAAGAAAAAAATCTAGGTCTTTCTCGGAGACACATTTTCATGTGAACATGGATGAATAATATTTATTAACAATTATTGCACCTTTTGCATTGGAAAATTAGATTTGATTCGGGACTCGTTTCTGTTTAATTTTATAAAAGTATTTTAGTCACGTAACTAGAATGATTTGACAGAGGTTGCAAATTCAATTTGAATGCTCGGTAACTAGGCATTTGCATGCGTATTCCATGTCCCATTTGTCTCGTTGGCTCTACATACGCAACTCATGCGGGGGGATACGAACGCCCGTGGCACACAGGACGTCATTCTGCATGCGTGGGACTGCATCAGTGATTAATGATATTTGCCTTTTATTTTAATTTTTTGCGCTATTTTTTGATATTATTTTTATTCTTCATTTGGTGCAATACCACTCTTCCATGCCTTGTCGAAGGAAACATAAAATATAAACAATAATAATAATTAATAATTATATTTGCTTATATAATAGCAAGCCTGCTAAGACCTTTAAAATAACCCCAATGGTTCTAAAAGACTCAAATATTATATTCACGCCACGCAACGCAATTTACAGATAAGTTCCACAATTTGCTCTAAATTTTCAATTACTTCTCAATTTTTAGCAAAGAAATGAAAAAACAGTCACGTCTGGTTTCAATCCTCTTTATTCCCGTGATCTTTCTTGTCGCGCTATTAAGTAGATTGCTTTAATCTGATTATAAAAAGAGACGATAAATTCTAGCCGCTATAAAGATGTTTTTGTTTTGTTTTTAATTTAGAGTCGAAGTGATGTGGGACTGTGGGAGCCCTGTTATTCCTCATATCTCCTATTAGAATGCAGGTCATGAATTCCGATAACAAAAAACACTATTCAGAGCCAAGCTTAACATTTAAAACACGCCATACGTTTTTGTTGTTTTTTCCACTGTCTCTAGTATTACAAGACAAATCACAATCTGTGTGATGAGAAAGGATAAGCAGTTTTCATTAGCTTGAAACAACTTTTCATCAATTTTTGTTTTTATTTGACAGATAGCAAGATACTGTATGCATTTAAAGTAGAGCAGAGCAAATTAATAAACAAGTTATCGCGCTTACCTTGGGTTATGTCGTGGTTTTTAACTACGAATTAACTTAACGTTTCGTGACCACACGTGTGTCCATATGGTCCCTTACTTCAATATAACTTCGAAGTTTAAAACCACGACCTAAACTTCAAATTAAAAACAGGAAATTTAGATAAACAAATTCTTGAAAGTGTGTGCATAATGCATTTAAACCTATATAGGACAGTTATGAATTTTGAAATTGACATCAGCGCAACACAAATTGGCAACACTGTGACTTATCATGCGAGCTTCTCTACAATTTACCTTGCTGTGCAGAAAATGTCATCAATTTGAATTGTCTTAGTTATTTATGACGGAATAGATTCGTTTCATATAGGGACTGTATACAAAATTAAGAGAAACTTATATGCAATAAATATTATTAGGGTGAGGGTATGATTGAAAAATTGTCTCAAAGGAAAGTATAGATTATTTAAGTTGTTACTTCATGACAAATACGAGATGAACTGACAGAGTTGTCAATTTGTCTTTCATTGATTGCACCTTCAAAAATTCATTACTTTCTTGTTTTAATTTTGTTTTTTTTTACTCAAATTTTCACGGACCGGTTTCTCTCATTTTTTCTGAGCACTTCTAATAAAACCAAATTAATATCAGGTTGGACTTCCCCTTTAACGGACTCCCGTGTGAACCTCAATGTATACCCATTTATTGACTTCATTGTGGAACAGTGTGCCAACCGAAGTGTTTAATTTGAAGGAACTCACAGAACGATTCATATGATATTTATAGACGATAACATGTCTATCACTTAACAAACACCAATTGAGTTATGATTATACATTAATCTTAACTTCTATTCAAAATCTTCCCTACAAGTGTTAACGATTGTAAAAGCACGGTATAGGGTCCATGTTTAAATCAAATTAATTTCAATGTCATTATTTGACAAAATTATTCAATTAACCACTGCCAGTCATCGATTGATCATTGAACGAATAATTGGAGAAACCTTGTTTTCTCTAGATGTATTGGTAGTAAAGAATGGCCTTCAACATGTTTCTTCTTTGAATAGGAAATATGATTTATTTTTTTTAAATCTCAGAAGACCTTTAAAAAAAAAGCTTTGCTTAATATCAAATGACCTTTTTTTAGACATTATGTTCAAATGACATTCTTTAGACGTTCTGTTTAAATGACCAACATTCTACGGTTAATCATAATCCAAACACGTAGACCGGAAATCAATTTTCACACGAACACCAATGATTTCCGTTTTGTAATCGTCATGTCAGGAATATTGGACTTGTTTCCATAACAACGAAGGCTGGAAATATTGGTTTTCATCGACGAGACTTTATCAATGGAACTCTTGACATCATTTCCTTTTACCGGCATGTACTTGTAATATTTGATCAAGGTCGAAGAATTCAATCTTTTTGTTTGATATACTGCGCACGAACATATTCGAAGGAAGAGCAAAGAGGAAATGAAAATGCTATTCCAGCTACTAGATATTGTTTGCTATGTAGATCTTTGTTATCATTAGGGACTTTTAGATTCTGCACGACGAGAACGTGGACTGCCCTTTTAAGGCAATGTGACGTCCTTTTAAGGCACTGACAGTGACGTCATATTGCCTTTAAAGGGCAGTCCGCGTTCTCGTCGTGCAGAATCTAAAAGTCCCTATTATAGAATATTTTGAACTCAATTCCGCAAGGTCATAATGACTGTAAACTGATTTTGTAAACTACTCATAATGATCAATCAAGCTAAACCTTACTTTTTCTAAACAAAAATATCCAAACACTAAAAAACAAAGATAATATGTAATTGCAGTATTGCGTCAGTTTTTCAAAAAATGGGAAATTAATATTTATATATACACCAATTCAAATTTATTTGTTTTTAAAGGTCGGGTGACATCCAAATACAAGTTGCTGTTGATGTTGATGTGCAGGGCTGCATACAAATCATATCTTGTTATTCAAACATCTAAATATATTTCATAGATTTAAAAAAAAAATCAAATAATTTTCTCACACCTGATAAGCTCCACGTAGGTGGAGCTTATCAGGTGTGAGAAAATTATTTGATTTTATGTTCCAGATCTCATTCATCTTGTGACATCATCTGTCAATCATAAGTGGGCTAACAAGAGACAGTGGTATGTAGCTTCATCAGAGCTGACCACCTGTTTACAATAGACCATACGATACCAACAAAGGCGTTGCTATGTCAGACGTGATATAGCAGCACCATGAAAAGAACGGTAATGTGGGGGTATTGTACGAAAGAAGGCAATTTTGTGTGAGCACGTGCTGAGCTGGGGGAAGTTACATACTCTTGTTAGCCTTCAAGATTGACAGATGATGTCACAAGATGAATAAGATCAGATTAGCAGGTCTGACAAAATTGTTTTAAAAATATATGCAATATATTAAGATGTTTGAATAACAAGATATGAGTTATATGCAGCCCTGCACATCAACAGGAATCAACTTTTTTTTTGGATGTCACCCGACCTTTAAATATTACGGTGCTACAGACACCAAGAAGGGGCCACATGGCTGCATTTACCCATACTTACAAGTAGCAACGCAGCCGAAAAACTTAGAATTTCCTTTAGAAAATGGCCATATCTACAACCTAAAACCATGGAATTTCAAGGCAGAGGCGGCAGTAACAGAACACCACTTATAAACCATGTGACGCCATGTAACGGCACATATACCATACGACAGTGGACCCCGCCCCCCCCCCCCACTCCGAGAACGGACGGACCCCATGCGTGTTGCCAAAATGTCCTTTTCGTAACAAAAGAAAAAGGTCGACCCGTATTGACTTTACACACCGGACTTTTGCTGAAAGGGGGGGGGGGGGGGTGCTGAAAAAGGCTCGTATACAAAAGAAAAAGGTCGAACCGTATTGACTTTACACACCGGACTTTTGCTGAAAAGGGGGGGGGGGGTCGGTTGAAACACGCATATGCGTACCCTAAATAACACTGAGTGGGGGGCCGGGCAGTGGACTGGGGACGGGCTGATTTTAAATGGTAAAAGTGTGGTGCTTAGGGCTGGATTTTTAGTGAAAGTGTGACCGCGCAATTTAGGGGCGTTGCAATGGTTGTACTTCTTTGTAATGCATATTCATGACACCAGCACGCCAATTGTTTTCTTCAATCGAACCATTTACTAACATACTCAAAGTTTAGGCATACTTTTAAACAAAGGTTGTTCTTGTCAACCTGAAAGCTTGTCCGAGCTTTTTCCAAAATAGTAACACATAATGTATTCCAAGTAATATTGTAGTTGATTCATTAATTACATTGGTTAACGGAATAACTCGTCCCTAAGTTCCCAGAAAAGGAACATCCATAAATTTGAATATGTTAGGAAACCAGTCTTTTGTATCAAGTTTTATTGTTTGTTTGTTTGTTTGTTTGTCTGTTTTTCGGTCTAGGGGGTGGAAATCTCTTTATATTACCTGCCCATGGCGCGCCGTATGGCTTGCCGTTCCCCTTTCACTTTTTGTAATCCCTGCAAATACTTGTTGAGCTTTTAGGAAGTGTTTACATCCTCAATTTGATCAAATTTGCATTTCATCCATTTAATGTTCATCGAAAAATCATTTGCAGTGAACCGTTTCTGTCTTGTTTCAGAATTGCAGTTTGCACAAAAAAAATTCTCTGATCAAAGCGGTAATGTCAAGCCCGTACTCCTTATCATCATTAAAGTCATGAAACATTATTATGCACGACAGCGGCTGATGTCTGCATTTTGGATGCAATTAGTGAGCGCGCGAAATTAGGCACATACGATCAGGTGACACGGACGGGACAACAAATATTTGAAGAACTTCGTCTCGTGCAATTAAAAGGATGATAACAAAGAAAAAGCAAATGGCAAAATGTAAGCGCATTGACATGAGATGCACTTATATGCTCCTTAATAATTGATGATTAGTCGATCAAAGGTTTCATTTCATTTGGCCACCCACGTAGGAGATAGCACATACTGTACAAATAACCCCCACAAGTACCCTGGTCATGGACTTGGAAAGTTCCACTGTGTACAATTTAAAATAATCACTGCCAAATCGATGTTGGTGCTTCATGAATAGCAAATATTATTTTTGATACTTCTGCTTTGGTGGAAATAATTAATGATTACATAATGTTCATGAACACGTATCCAGCATTCGTTTCGATTTTTTAAAAGTTTTGTAAAATTGTGTTTATTTTCCGATGCGCAGATTTGTCATTCTTGTCTTTATTTAATTGTTCATATATTGATTTAATTATTATGTGTCGATTTCATCATTTAATTAATTATTTATTCATTCATTCATTAAAATTTGATTATTCATTTATTTGTGCATCAATCTATAACACGATCGCTACTACTTAAAAAAAATATCAATTTGAAGAGTTGTTTGCGTCACCTATTAAAATGTGCGAACATGGCAATGGCGTGTTACGTAATTCGACCATGATTTATATGAGACATACAGTAGGGTATTGAAATATCTCCGAAGGGGTTTATTCAACTTTCGGTGTAAGCATTATGCCTCAGCCACATTACATACTCTACCGAGCACTTCCACCCCACCACTTCTTGACCGTAATAGTAATAAATGATTTTCTCTCAATCTTGTTTTGGTCTGCAGCAGTTCTTGTCGATGAGACTACGGTCTAAACTCCCAATAAGTTAAATGACGACGAACTTTCACACACATATATATAAGGCACATGGTGAATTTGCCAGATGAACAGCATAACAAAAGTGCGGAGCAACTTAATAATACCCCCCCCCCCCGGGGGGGGGGGTCACTCTCATACAGAAGTGGTACCCACCCGTGTCCATCAACCTCTGAAATGGACCCTAATGGCGCACCAGAAATTTTTAAGTTAACACTTAGCAGTTGTTATAAATGGCTTTGAATACCTTTTTAAGAAAACGTCGACGACGCCGTATAGCTGAAAAAGAAACCCTTTCGACACTGTTTCTGGACGCGGTGCGTTGCCAGTCATGTCGAGAGTGACACCCCTCCCCTTTGATAATACCTCACCACAAAAGGTGACAATTTGTCCATATTCTTCACAAATGAAGCTAAATTCAAGACCAAAGTTTCTTTGTTACCTTTAACCTTAATCCCAATCCTAAACATAAACGTATTACACTTAAAATACCCCTATCCCATCCCCAGCACTATGCGTTGGTCGTCAACGTATACAAACCCTACGTTCGCTTGGTATTCTAAAGTTGATATAAAATTGCATTTTATTGATAGCAGATTAGTCTAATCATGCAAAGGGGGAACACCATTACAACAAATATTGAAACGATCGGTTCGTTATCCAACAATTTAGAACATTTTTAAATGTTCTATTTCCTGTATTAGAAAGAGAGGAGAAGACGTAGGAAGAATAATTGTGTTGCAATTTGCATATTCTCAACACATCTGAAGTCACTAAAACATGTTTTACGAATTCTTTTTCTTGTTAATAAATTTCGAGAGATTGGAAAATCATAAAATTAAAGAAAAGAAGGTAAAACGAATACTGTAACACCTGATTAGTCTTTGGCATCAATATGTATTGCATCTTTGGTCCTATACCCCATGCGGCCGAGGTTTCCAAATTCTTGTCAGGCAGTGGTTGTGGTTAAGAGTTAGGGCTGAAATTTATGTTTGATATTGATCTAAACCTCACTCAATTAAAGGTAGGAACATTTGTGAAATTGGACCAATTGGGAGTAGGACCAATGCTTGGACCAAGGCTACATCAGACCATTAGTGCGTAGGAGCAAAGATGAGGATCCAATACAGCGTAAAACCACACTGTGTAGTTACTTTAATTACCATTTTCTCTTTTCTTCCGTCTTGTCTACTCTCGTCTCTCGATTTTCTTTTGTTGTCGTTGTGTGTGTACACTTCTTGTTTCTTATACCACCTTTTCCCTAATGTATCCTTAGGTAGTTACAAATATGTACTCCCATCATGTTTATCTTGTTGCTTAATTATGTACCAACCATTTATTTGGTCCAGAGGGGACCCTAAAACTAACAAGCTCTGCTTTTACCAGGGTCTCCTCATCTTTCTTTTAAATCACTTTGCTTTTATCATTGCCATAATTCGTTTTTGGCATTGCAAGGGTGTAACGATCTAAGGTTACGCTCTATGTGACAATTGAAAGAAAGTCGAATAAATATCTTATCTCATATTATCTTATCTAGCTTGCACCAAACCAAAACACTGTGACTAACTGATAGGTTGTAAGTAGGATCAATAGAACATCATAAATAGAAGTGACCTACCTGTAGATAAATGTTACTGATTCAACATATTCCTCAGGATCAACAGTCTTTGCCTTTCGTTCTGCTCTCTTCTTAGTTCTTCGTCTGACATCATACCGGATTTGCTTTCTATCCTCTTAAGCTGTTCTTTTTCAAACTACATTCAGAATACAAGAGACCAACAAAAGACAGAAATAAGTTCCGCTTTTTTTTATGGTTTAATTGTAAGAATATTGAATTTCAAGGAACATTTTATAATTCCTTGATTAAGCAAGAAAATAGCAAATTTACTTTTGAAGCCCGCAAGCTGTTTTTTGTCAAACAAGATTTAAAAATATTGTATATTTAAGACAAAATAAGATAAAAGATTAATCACGTTGAATAATGTTCCCGACCTGAAAATTGGAGAAAGGAGTTAATATTATAAATTTATTTTCTTTTTATCTTTCCTTATCAAGCCATTCTTTTCCGAACTATATATGAAATGGAAGTAGTTATGATATTTTTTTCTTGTTTAACAGTGCGAAATATGAAAATTCGAAAAGAGATTTTTAGTATAATTCTTTTCCTTGTATGAAATGCAAGATATTATATTTGCTCTCTATCATTTTAAGATCTTGATTCTTCTTTAAGTGAGTTCGAGGTGTAAAAAATTAAGTTAAGTTATGAATTTTCTTGTTCGGCTGAGCCTAACCCCCAAAATTCGAGGGGAAAAAAAAGCAAATTATATTTTACCGTTTTTCCTTCTTTTGAAAACAAGAAAGCGGATTTGGTTTCCTATCCTTTCAATCGATTTCTTTAGGCCCAGATTCAGAAATTACATTTTACCGATATATTGATTTTGATGAATTATTCCTAGTAATTTTGTATAATTAGATATGACTTAATTTGTAGTAGAGCTATCAGCTTGAAATAGTCATCAGGGGGTGTTTCACAAAACTTGTCGAACAGTGACAAATGACAGTTTTTGTTATAAGCTACTGAAATTCTTGCTTCTGATTGGTTATCAGCAGATTTGTCACTGATATCTGTCATTTGTCATTAAAAAAGGCTTTGTGAAACGGGTTCAAAATATACTGGAATATTGGATGTGGTCGGTAACGTATTGGAGAAAAATTGCGAGGATTTGTCCAATACAGAAAAGTTTCTTACCTGTAGTAACCTGATTACATTTCCTAACAAGTCATTAGTATTTTCGATCATCTGTGTCAGGAATTCTGCATCTGGAACTGGTTGTTTCACGTCAGAATATGTAGCTGCTTCTGATATTTTTTCTGTCAAAAATGAAAAGACAGGAGAAAGAAAAAACGTTAGAAAATATTCAAATCTCTTATCATCATTGGAATGGGTTAGGTGGAACGGTTAGAGAATATCTTTCATTTCACGAAATAAGGTTGAACGCAATATTAATCATAACAAACACAAACACGCAATTCCTTTTATTTAGCATAGTAGGAAGTTACAGTTGCAAGGGCATTAATAAGAAAAGTTTCAACCTCCTTGAAGGAAACTCCTCATACTTGGTTACACTGGTTGGCCATTAATGTACACGTTCAAACAGAAGAGGAGCCAAGACACTTCCTTGAGGGACACCATTTTTTTCCTGACTTCGTTTACCGTTTAGCTCAACAAAGAACCATCTGTTAGTGAGGAGGTATAGGATAAGATTTGTCAACCTCGCATCTTGTTGCCTCAAAGAATTTCCGGGTGAAAATCATATGGTTCACTGCATCATATGCTGCACGAAGGTCAACAAAAGTTGCTTCTGTCGTTAGCCCTTCAGCTTCTCGAACCCATCTAGATGTACTGTGTGAGGTTCAAGGGTTGGCAAGTACAGTTCTCCAGTTACATGACACTATGAATATCGTGCCGAGGTATATCAATAGATCTTATGTTAGAATTACATTAGAAATTTAACAATGATATTCGAGCAAGATTTTAGTCTTCCAATTTGAAACCGATTTGATCTGACCAATGAATATAAAGTATCAACACAAATGAGTTACCGCGTGAATATTCTGGAAAGTAAACTTCAGGTTCAGGACTCCTAACAAAACGAACACAAACACAAAATAAATTGTTGACGTTGATTCTTTGTATCATTCCTATCAAAATTCAAAAAGATTAACTTGTTCGATGAGTGTATTGATCATAACATGTTATAAATTATTTATATAATCCAAAATCTCTAATATTAAGAGTTTACTGACTTCTAGGATTAAACCTCTACCGCAGAATATGGATTTCGCTTGTCCAAATGTCTATACACAAGATTCCATTAGCCCAAAGGATTTGACTCTGTAATTCCATTTAAGTAGATAATCCATTGCTACAGGGACTCATTATCAACACGAACAATTTTGTCGGAATATCACTTATACCCCGGTACGTGTTGCATCGAACTTGGCATTTTATGCTCAGAGAAAGTAAGGTGAGTAACGATATTACCATTTGGCTGTTTATACTTTAAAGCTTGACTTAAGCTCCGTCAATAAAATCGTACATAGAATATACATAATTTAGAAGTAATAATGAATATGATCAATTTGCCCAAGGTACACAGCGGTATCAGTAGGGACTTTTAGATTTGCACGAAGACAATGTGGATTGCTACAGTCGACGTCCTTTTAATGCACTGCCTTAAATGGACGTCACACGGATCATTCCACGCAAATCTAAAAGTCCCTAGTATAAGCTAGTAGTGCTCTTCTTGAGAGCCCTGCAGTTACCATTGTCCTGGAATTATTGGGAATCCTTAATACATTGAGTCAAGAACATTTGTGGTACAACAACTGTTCCCATGATTTAAGCACCGACCTAATTATAGAATCGAACCTAGGACCTCACATATGACAGCCAAGAGCTTTTACCATTAAACCACAGTGATCTCTCTCAAAAACGACCATCATTCACTGTTTCATGAGAGATTGGCGTGGATTTAGGGTCTGGAAATATCAGTTATATTTCGTTGTGGTTGCAGTACTTCCATTATCTTTGTGGCTGTAATGTCATCGTTAAGCCTTCTCGAGCTATTCAAGATGAACCTCCTGAAAAGAACTATACGACCACGAGAAATTGGCTTGGATTAAGAGTCCGGTCTAATGAGACGATTACTGTAACTGTCTTTTGCAGGTTTTGGGGGAAATAAGGGATATTATACTAATAACCCTTCACCAAGTTCGCGGGATCAAATCCTTTTGTTTAGATCTTCAGGAGGCTAATCTTAGACTCATATTTATCGTTTATATCTTCATCTGTGACTAGGATGTAATAAAATACAGAATTTTACGAACCCTTATACTTTTTAGTAGGAGGAGGAGTACGAGTACGAGTAGAATAGGTAGGTTGAGGAGAACGAAAAGTAGTAGTAGTTTTAGTAGTATTAGTAGTAGACGTAGTAGTAGTAGTAGTAGTAGTAGTAGTAGTAGTAGTAGTAGTAGTAGTAGTAGTAGTAGTAGTAGAAGTTGTAGTAGTAGTTTGGTTTGGTTTGGTTTTTCCGTATAAAAATTCAATACATACAAGAATACAATTTACAAATAATACAAATCAAGAATTAAAAAACGGCTGGAAAGCTCTATTCAGAGCCATTATTAAAATGGCTCTGTTCTTCCTAGAGGTAGTAGTAGTATTAGTTGTTGTTGTTGCTGTTGTTGTTGTTTAATTACTAATAGTAGCGATATTAGTAGAAGTAGCAGCAGTAGTAGTAGAAGTAGCAGCAGTGGTAATAGTGGTGATGGTAGTAGTAGGAGGACGAGGAGATGAAGTGGGAGTAGTTATAGCAGAAGCAACGACAGAAGTAGGAGTAGAAGTAGTACTGGTAGTAGTAGCATTATAAGTGATTGTAATTATTATTGTTACTTGTATGATGTTCGCATTATTTATTTTATTATGTATCGTCAGTTCACATGTTCATATCATTTCCGATGTTTACAAATGATACAACGTCCATACGTCACTTCCATCACACACGTCAATCAATGCCGTTATCGTCGACGGGTCGCCTTCCAGTGAAAGCCCAATGACCACGTCATCTTGCAATTAGAAAGATGATACCTCCCCCATCATTTTATGAATCATTGGTTGTCTCCACGAAATCGATCTCGATGATGATGCACCAAGCTGGGAGATGAAATAGCCTTTCAAGGTTTCGGAGATAACGCGCCGATGTACATCCCTCCTCCTCTTCATTGTTACCTGTTCTATCAACACCTCTTTAAATTGCCACAGATCAACGTCGGACGGACCAATTGGAATATGATATGATTGGACAAGATACTGGGATGCGATCCGAAGCATCATAACCTTAAAACGCGGCGTGAACGGGAAAATTTGGCGTACAATGATCAATAGAGCGTCCTACACTGTTGCTCATAACGGTGGAATATTTTTTTTATCCCAATTTATGGAATTATTTTAAAAATAATTTAAAAATACTAGATCTAGATAATAGTATACAGTCTCAGATTTTATTGAATAATAATTTGCCAATATGTGTTTTGCGTGACTGCTAAAGCATGTATATTATGCTACTATGTTTATTAACTAGGGGACCTATGCCCTTAAGTCATAAATGACAGTAATGAGGATTAATGCCTCACAAAAGGGCACTAATATAGCACATCGACACGGTGTTGATCCTGGGGCCTCACAGTTACGAGGCCATTGCTTTGTCACTGAACTATGACTGTACGCAGCGGGGGCTATGGTAGGGGGCAGTTTCCATAAATTAAAAAAAAAAACAGAAAATGCAATAAATTTTCAATAATTTATTGCATTCTACCCCGGTCCCCAACATAAAAAAATCTTCTGTGTGCCCATGCCTTGAGCCATAATGCATGGCCGTCCAGAGGATTTTTTATGTTGGCTGTCAAAATGTGTGACGCCCCAATTGTCTAAGGCTTGCACGCTTTCAGTTGCTACGTTAACATACTGCTTTCCATTTTTCATTCAGTACAAAGCCATCCTTACTTCATCTTCCGTGATAGATGGTACATTCATGGCTTACTCGATAGCAAGGACCCGTTTCACAAAGCCTTTTTTTAATGACAAAAGACAAATATCAGTGACAAATCTGCTGATCACCGATCAGAAGCAAGTATTTCAGTAGCTTAAAACAACAACTGTCATTTGTCACTAATCACAAGTTTTATGAAAAACCCTAGTCTGCCACCCTTGTTATCAGTATATAGTTCACTGGTGTATTCGTGCCAACAATGCAGGATTGTATCTTTATCCATAATGATAACTAGACAGTACTGCATTCTACACTAATCCTGAGTATATAATTTCTAAATCTGGTTATGAATTCATGTACCCTGTTATCCGGGGAAATCTCAGTTAGATTTCGTTGTGGCTGCAGTGCTTCGATTGTCTTTGAGGCTGTAATGTCATCGTTAAGCCTTCTTGAGCTATTCAAAACCTGCTGAAAATAATTATACGACCACTTCCAGAAAATCAAATAATGAGCTAATATTCCGCTCTTGAAAAGCGCATGACACATCGTGGTATAACGTCCATACGCGCTCCCAAAGACCTTTGGAAATTAATCAGCGCCAAGTCCCTTCACTATTTAATTCAATCCGAATACAATTAATTTTATTTCCATAACTAAATCAAAATATTAAAAATGCCTTTATAAAATCGATATGAAATGACGTTTTCAATATTACATAGTAAATGCACTTTATTTGTAATTATACAATATGAAATGTCGGAAAGTAATAAACGCATTTGGGGATGCAAAATATAAAAGCATAATACTATCATTTTAAATTTCAAAATTGAGTAAACCCACTAAAAAGCAGAATTTATATTTGTGTGGATTACTTTTAAAAAAAGGGGGGGGGATGAGTGGAAAATCGATTTTCTTTCTGGATTACCAAAATAATTATAAGACTTCATATCAGCTGCCAGAAATTTGTCAGGAAAGTTTGGATAAGGCGAAAGAGAGTAGGACAGAAACCTTGGAACTGTTAGATTAACGTAAAGCATTTGAACATGGAGTAAGTCATGAAGCAGAAAGTAGGGGCGGATCTTGGATAATCCGAAAGCGAGGGGTGCAGCGGCGATTTGTTTTTTCCGAAATAAAACAATGAAATTTCTTTATTGTATTATTTCGATGTGTTGTCTAATAAAATTATCTGACATTCTCAAATTGGGATATCCCTTCTGGCGATTGGAGAGGCCTTTGGCCTTTGGCCTTTGACCTTTTCAACCATGATGTTATGCTGTTTCTTTGCAGAGGCAGCCTCGTTACCAACATCCTTCCTTCTCT